CTCTCTCTCTCTCTCTCTCTCTCTCTCTCTCTCTCTCTCTCTCTCTCTCTCTCTCTCTCTCTCTCTATTATCTTCTTCGCAGGTGCGCACGGCATCCTTCTTCTTCTGCTGGTCAGCTATGGCGGACTTCCTCTTCACAACGATGGAGCGTGGAATCGCGGGTACCAGCTCCGATACCAATGCAATCAGACTCACTTTCCTTTCCACTTCGCATGCATGTAAACAGGTAGCACACCAAACTAGCGACAAGCGTCCGCTCAAAGCTCGGAGATATGGTAATCAAGAACACAATTCAGATACAAGCTCGCTTCAGATGGCTATGGCGCATCAGCGCCTGTACAACTCTCTGTTCGTCACTAGCTCAACTCTGTTGTTCGCACACACTCAACTCGGGATCACCCTGGATATCCCACACGCAACACACTCTCTCACACACACTCACACCCTACACTCGTCTACCACCTACGGCGACTATGGCTCAGCCCTGCTGGCTATGGCCACTCAATCTCAAATTTGCCCACTTCGGCTTCGGGCGCTCTGCAGACCACCTCGCACAAGTCGCTCAAGCAGCGCTATCGCATGACTTACGCAAGAATCAATGGTTGGGCGCTGCCTCTTGATTTATACTTCCGCTCGTGGGTCTGCCCCTTTTCCCATGCTGCTGGTGCACACAGTCCCACACGGTACTTGCTTGACTGGACTGTGACTGACTGGGACCGGTACCGCTGACTGCATGGGTTGGCACTACCAACTCGATGCAGTCGCACTGCCAACGTACCGCAGTTGGGCTCACCACTTGCCCGCTTGCCTCTGTCTAAACGTGAGGAAACTTTGAAGGGCCACTTCCGGACCTTCCGGAAGTCTATGGACTTGGCCCTTCGACACTGTAGCAGCTACGACCTTGACCTTTCAGGACTGTAGCAGCTACGACCTTGGGCTTTCAGAAACTCCACAGCTACGAAAACTTGCTAAGACTTCTACCCGACAGGTCTACAGATCTAACCCTTACAACCTACGGACCTACGACAACCTATCTACTGTTGCGAATATTCAGGTCACGGGTTCAACTCTCGGGGTCGACACAGGTATTGTACACAGGTAGGGTAGGAACTAGGGATCGAGCCCTGGGATCTGCATTCGCTACCGTGAACAGGTGAATACCGTTTCACAATGTTGACCTTGAATTGAATGTTCAAAGCACTCAGGTCTATAAAAGCAACCGTACGGGCTGCGAACACGCAAGCGCCCTCGCGGGAAGTTGAACCACGCGTACATTTCCCGCCCAAATTTCTCAGACTCGGCATGGCATGTGCTGCATCTGCGCTAAGGTTCAGAGTGGACAAATTTGTCTTGGCGTGGCAGCCTGGTACATCCATGAATATGCGGTTTCAGAAGCTTGCCTGTTGGTACGACAGAGTTTAAACCAACAGGTGAAACAGGCGATAGAAGAAAGCGGCTAATCGGGCATGGAGTGAGCATAAACTAAAACATGACATAGAAGAAGTCGAGTCTAAAATGGGTGTAGACCCGTTCTTCAACTATTTTTGGTCGGAAAAGCGGGAGTGTTACCTAGTCCAATTGGAGATGTTGGAACAACAAAAACAATCAGAATGGCTAGAATGGCTGAAAATTTAAGGGTCATTTGGGTACGACAGAATGACCAGACCGACGTTTCGGTCTTTAATCCACCGTCAATCCAAACCATTAATTATCGCTCTCTCACACCCGTTTGCACTTGTTGCCCCCAAGGCAACAGAAACGGAGAGGATGTGTAAGTATGCACTAGATTATTTTAGGGATATAATTTCAACTAGAAGACCATTTGACTCATTTGATACGGACCTCACAAAAATTTCAGATTTTTTGAGTCGTTCAAGAGTGTCTATTTCACAAGCCACTAGTGCGAATCTAGACCGTCCCTTCACGGTAGAAGAATTGAAAGCGGCAATTACTCAAATGGCCAAAGGAAAATGTCAGCGTCTTGACGGGTTCCCGGTCGAACTATTCCAAAGTTGTTGGGGGGGGAGTTTCTTCATTCCTTTGCCAAGTGTATAAACGTATTGTGGAAACAGGAACAATCCCAAACCGATTTGCCAAAGGGGTTATTTCACTCCTTTGTAAGAAAGGAGATAAGACAAAAGTCAAAAACTACTGCCCTATCTCAATTTTAAACGTTGTGTACAAAATCCTAACAAAGACACTTGCCCTCAGACTGGCCGAAATTCTCCCAAGTCTGATTGGTTGGGAACAAGTAGCCTTTGTTAAGGGGCGAACGATTTTTGATAACATAATGTCCACGGTCAAAGCCCTAGAAATTATTGGGGGGGAGAAGCGAGACATGCCAGTAGTACTATTAGATATGGAAAAGGCCTACGACAAGGTGGGTTGGGCTTTTGTAGCAACCACCTTGTCAAAAATGGGCTTTGGCTCGGTCTTCAAGCAAACCGTCAAAGCCATGTACTCGCAAGCTTCTTCAGTTCCTGCGCCAAGGATGCCCTTTAGCCCCGCTTCTCTTTCTACTGCAATTGGAGATCCTATTGGATAATATCGGATGAAACCCAAAGATAAGGGGCCTACAACTCTTCCCCGCTCTACATTGGAAGGGGGGAGCAATTGCAGACGATCTGAAAGTGGCTTGTGAAAATGATATAGGATCACAAACAAAGTTAAAGCTAGTTCTAGATTCTTATTGTGAATTGTCCGAAACTTCAATCAATTGGGACAAGTTTGTTTTTTTCTTGCACCCCCTGTTTGAGATCTGCGTGGATTGGGGCTTGAAGCGGGTCCCATCTGAAAACTCGGAACTGTTCTTGGGCATTCAAGTATCTCTATCAAAGTGTGCGGACTCGCAATGTGCTCTGCTGGTGAATAAAGTCACGTCAAGGGTCACCAACTGGATTCAATAAGCCATCTCTATTTGGTAGGGTCGTTGTCCTAACTTCTTTGGCGTTCTCTCTGCTATGATTTCCTCTTTCTGTTCACTATCTGAGTGACGGAACATGCGCGGCACGGTATTTATGGAAACCAAAAGCTTCATAAATTCAAGGGTTTATGTCTAAAGTAGTCAAGGAGGCCATTGCTCTCGATAGGTCAGAGGGAGGCCTAGGAATACTAGACCCCCACCAGCAGAATATAGGCCTACTGTGGATTGTTCACGCTCTATTTGACAGAAGGGGCAAGACATGGTTAAGACTGTCAGAGTACATACTGGGTAAGGAATTGGCTCTATTGAACCCAAAAGATGTCTGGCGGTGTGTTTTAGTCTTTTCCTTTGTGCAAAGAAGGATAAAATTCAGGATCTAGTCGGCCATTTTTCCGGCCTGGAGACAGGTACTGCCTGAACTGCTTAGGGAACCATTCACTCAGGGAAACTCTCAATCAGTTCCTATTTGAGAATAGGCTCGTGGTTCAGCCTGACGGCTCTCAGCTTGCAGCCATTACGGGAAAAGGAAGTTTTTGCAGATAGTGAATGGAAAATGGCATTATTCAAGTTAAAGACATCTGGGACGAAGTTATAGCTCATTGGATCTCGCCAACAAAATTAAAACTCAGATTACAGAGACTCCACAATGTGGAGAAGAACTACGAAGCTTTACTAGCAGCAATCCCAAGACGCTGGACTACCCTGCTGAATGACTACAGAGAACAAAACAGT